TGCCGACGTCTCCGCCGTCCATGGTCCCGAGCTCGTCGCCCACGGAGGTGCCGACAGGTGCGAGCCGTCGTGGAAACCACAAACCGTCACTCGATCTCCCTCTAGGCGTGCCGACGACGCGGCCGAGCGCGCCGCCGACGGCCGAGCCGACGTCCGTGCCCACGACGCCGCCGTCGCCCGCGCCGTCCGCGCCGAACCCGACGCCCGTGCCTAGCGTCACGCCCGTGCCCAGCGGCATGCCGTCCCCGCAGCCCAGCGCCATGTCCGCGCCCGCGTCCGAAAAACAACGAAACTCGCGCGGGACGCGACGCTCGCGTAGGCCGACGCGGCAGGAGACGCCCACGCCCACGCAAACGTACCTGCCGACGCGGCCCGCGCGGCCGCTCGTCATCACCGTGCGGTCGTCGCTCATCTTCGCGAGCCTCGACGCCGCGGCGTTCAACGCCGACGCGGCGGCCGCGGCGGAGTTCGCGCGGCTCGTCGCGCGCGCGAGCCGCGACGTCGACGCGCGCGACGTCTCCGACGTCCGCGCGACGGCCTGGACGAGCGACAGACGGCGGCTCGACCGGCGGCGGCTCGCGGCGGCGGCCAAGGTCGCCTACGCCGCGGAGGTGTCGACGTTCGCCTTCGGGACGAACGCGGGGCCCGAGGCCGAGACGGCTGCGGTGCTCGCCGACTTCGAGGCGGACCTCGCCGCCGCGGTGTCCGGCGGCTGGGCGGCCCTCGTCGAGAACGTCACGGGCGACGCGAACGCGTCCGCGTGGCTCGCCATCGACGCGGCCGCGTCGCTCGACGCCGTCGCCGCGAGCTACTCGAACTTCACGTCGCCGTCGCCGTCCGACGACGACGGCGGCGCGCCCTGGGACGTCTTCTACGGCGTCACCGCCGCCGTCGGCGTCGTGGCCGTCGCCGCGTCCGTCGCGACGACGGCATGGCTGCGGAGGGGCTGCGCCGCGCGGCTGAAACCCGCGCGGCGCGTCCAGCCCATCATCCCCGAGGCGAAGCTCGAGGGCTACAA